GAAAATTAGAGCGAAGGACATTCTGCTGATTGATGAACCTCCAGAGACTGACAAAGTGGAGTTTTTATATCACTCGCTTTTGATTGCATAATTATCAGGTCATTGAAGGGTCGAACATCCATGCTTTGCGCTCATCTTGCAACTTATCCTCATGTGATGCCTGGGGTTCTGAAGAAGGGCACGAGTGTAAATGATGGGCCGCAAAGAGGTTCCGCCCTACTCGGCATCCTATGCTATCCTTCTTTTGGCATCCACAGCTCATTATCACGTATTCTCTCTTTAACATCCAAACCTCGTTATCACTTATCTCTCCTTGGCATCCACGCCTCTTTATTACCTACCTTCTCCTTGGCAACACCTGATTATCACCTATCCTCCTGCTCTTATTATACTGCCTAACTTACATTGCAGATGAGTGAGAAACTTTTAACCAGATTAGCACTATTGTGGACTTGAGGCAGCAGGGGAAATCAATGGCTGTAGTGACTGTGGAACTGCAGAAGTTGAGTTTCGGACATTTAGCAAGAGCATATGTTGCCAGAATTACATTAGGGAGGTTGCATATAAATGTTTTTAGACCGAACCCTCTGTGAACTATGATGCAGTCAGGCGGTTCATAAGGAGATTCGAAGGCACGAATTCTCCGAAGAAGTCATACGCACCGCGTGCCCTTCGCGGTTGGTGAAAAATTCAAAGCTTCCTCTCTATCATTAAGTAGGAATACATGTTTCAGTCCACAGCGACGAAATACTCCGTGAGAATTGAGAGGTGCTATCAGAACAATAGTTCTGCAACAGCACAAGACGTTGTGAAACGCCTGAAGACACGCGGCATCACTGTCAGCGCTACACACATCAAGAGGCTCCGGCAGAAAATTGGATACAAAAGAACCACCACAAAGTACTGCCACACTATAAGGGAATGTCAATAAAGTGGCTCGTCTAGACTTCTGCTCGGAGATGCTTGCTGTAGGAGCTTGTTTCACTGACTGTGTCTTCACGGACGAGTGCACAGTTCAAAGTAGGAGTGCTCTTTGAGGAACTGAGTTTCACATTTCGATTAAATAGAATTCACTTTCAGTTGACTGCTAAGCCAAGTTTCGCTGCATAAAACAAGGTGATCAGTACTCGAGGATGCGTAACCGAGCCAAGCATCCGGCGAAAGTCCATATTTGGGGTGGTATTTCTGTGAGAGGAACCACCCAATTCGCTATTCTTCCGGGAAATTGCCGGATTGATAGCGAGCTGTACTGCAGAATTCTAGAGAGATTTTACCTCCCTTCCAAATCTAAATTGTACAGCGGTTTGTTTTGTTGTATTATCAATTGTAGCTTTTCAATTCTGAAGTTTCTCACTCTAGGGTTTTGCCGTCTCGTGCAAGACAATGCACCACCCCACAAAAGCCGTTATACGAGAGATAAGCTAGAAAGATGGGAGGTCGAAACAGTGGCGTGGCCTCCAGAGTCACCTGACCTCAACCCGATTGAGTTAGTTTGGGGAAACATGAAAGTCTGTATCAGGTATTTGATAATTCTGATCGTGCAACTTGAAATACTCTGTATTGCTACAAATCACATTAGGAAGCAAGGAGTGCGCAACTTGGACGACCTTAAAGTAGCGATCGCCCGGTACTGGAAGACGCTAACCCCAGAAAAATGTGCGCGAGCATTTACGTTGCTGGGATCAGGAAAAGATGGAGAAGGGTTGGTAGAGGCAAGCGTGGGGAAGAAATATAGTCGAAGTAAAAGTAAGGAATCCTTTACTGTTTGTTTTTGTTTGTATGACTGTGTTTTTTAGCAATGATAATAATAATAATAATCATAATAATAATATCAATAATAATAATATTAATGATAATAATTATAATATTTAAATAATTGTTTATAAGTCCTAATAGCAATGACATAACTAATATAGTAACAACAATAATAATATTCGATTATAGTAGTATATTTGAAGTATTTAATAGTCATATGTACATTGTAAAAATTGTGCTGTATATAAATCTTAGTGTATTGCTGTATAAAATTTTGGGGAAGAAATGAAATTTTAAAGAGGAGTAGGCGGAGCCAGGGGCGGGGCTTGTAGCATATGAAAGAGGGAGTGGTGGCGAACATAATAACAGAGTGGGACGTAGTGCCCCAGAGCGGACCTAATGACACACCTAGCCTGG